AAATAAAAATCTCTAATTTCAAATTCTGTTGAAAAACCTCAGATACTAATGGCAGGTTCTTCAAATAATTGTTATCGAATTGTCAGAAAAGCGCTACCCATTCTGTCGCTAACTCAAGAATATTTTTCATAAATATTACAGATGTTTTATAGTATTTTATCTAATTAATATAGGGATTTTCTATTATTTTATGCAATCACTTTTTTTCAGTCAAGTACCATTGAGTTTATTGGCCTGTAAAGAGGTGCAATCAGTAGGTACGTTTACTACTACAGTATGGGAGGAAAGTCATGTGAAAATCTAGTTTAAAGAGCTTCTTTATTTAGTGCAAATTTTTCTGTATTCATTTGAGGATTTAATTTTCGAATACCCTGTAGATTTTCCGTAGATGCTCAAATTGCTTAAAATGCCCCAAAATCTATACCATTTTCGTTGCAAGGAAGGAATGACTGCAACGAGCTCATTGAAAAACACTTTAGATCCTTTAAGTCTCTTTAGGCTATCGAATGCTGCCACCAACCTGATTTTTACACCGACCTTTTTAAGAATCTTGTGATTTCTTCTTCTTCAAGTTCCTTAAAGATCCTTAACTGACGATGACTCTCTTATTATAGAGTTAAACGCACTTTCAAAAACACACAAATAAAGTCAACTTCCATTGAACATCTTGGCTTCCAGATGTTTTCTAACAGAGATACAGGGTGTCAAAGTTTGAGAAAAATGCGTTTTAAAAAAATTTTTACACCTCGTACTGTAGTAGATAGATATATAACAAATAAAATAAAAAATACAGATGATGTTAGATGAAATTTTTTAAATCGTAAACTCCGAGTTGAAAAAATGTTTTAGTTTTTTTTGCAATCGGATTTAATTTTGGCTTCAAAACCTGAGACACAAAGGTCTAAATCAACGTTTTACACGAGGATTTTTCTTCTTAGAAATGATCGAAAAACGTAAAAATCCTTCTACTGTTTTGGAATATTTAGGGGCGTTTTAGGTAGGAGCCAAAAAGGAAACACTCGCAAAGGGGATAGTTTTGTTGAGTTCATTATCATTAAAAAAGAAACATCTGGTATCAAAGTTTTTCCAATGAAAGTCTTCTTGAGGGTTGCTGCTCTTCCACCTGCTGAAATTGATGACGTTGAACCGGGAGCACCCTGTATATGCACATGTATAGCGATGTATCCGGCCATCAAGATCAAGCGGCTCAGAGGTTCAGAATATTTCCAATTCTGCCCAATAAACCAACTAAGTGGTTGAAGAGCCAATTGCTGCGGACACTTACCAGAAGCATCGCCCAGACGAAGTAGACAACTTCCTGCCAGTAAAACTCGAACCAAACGCCACATTGCCCCTATGGAAACTGTGCTGCTAACATAGATCGATCAAATCGGCTGTGTCGTTGACACTTTGGGACGCGTGAAGATATACTGGAGGTTCGAAGTCTTCACGCAAACGGCACCGGTTGCAGAATTATTGCGACTGAATTGCAGAAGCAGCAGAAGGATGAAGTTGACGGCCACTATTTCTTCGTCGAGTAGGGGTCGACGCTCTTCGGCCTTTTTTCGACTCTTTCGCGGATTACGTGGGCCCCTCAGGTACCTACGTGATTTGTATTGAACTATTCAGTTACCGGGCTCTTCAACTGAAATCTCCATATTTGAGTAGAGCTGGGAGTAGTTTTGTGCTGAAGCTCCAGAATGAAGAACTGAACAGTTTAACAATTGTACTATTGGACGTGTTTAATTCATTCACACAGTTACAAAAATGTTTTGGTCTCTAGTAGGGCTGGTTTGCTTCGGGTAGGTCTGCGTAGATCGCACTGGCTCCATCGGTGCTACAGACCGAGTCTTCGGGAGTGCGCGATGGTTCCGCCTCTGTTATATCCATGTCTATATCCCTTTTTCTATCCCGATCCCGATCTTTGCGTCTCGAGTGCAAGCTCTGGAAATTCGCAGAAATCGATCAAATGTCTTCAATTTTCATCAGTGCCTCACTTACCATAGTGCGTCGCACCTTTTCTCTGCTTCCCTTCTTCTTGCAGTGCCAAAATTGAAGAAATTTTAATCACAGCATGCATCATTTTAAATGGAGGATTTAATGGAAATTATCTGAGTTAATGTTGAGTGTGTGCATGTGATTCTGAACCGCAAAAACTTCAAGCTCGGTTAAGTTAGGCAAAAGGTTGCATTCAATGGCAAGTTAAGGACTGGAACTGTGCCAAATTTGGCTTGATTTCTGAAATATTGGAAAAAACAAATTCTGCTTCTGATTGCGAATATTTTTTCAATCGCTTGTACGATTTGAACAATTTTTTAGCCATTTTAATCGAATTTTTGGACAAAATTTAAGTTATAATAAAATGAAAATTACAAAAGGGCAAGGCAACGTAAGCAAAGTCATCTGGTTGTGATCAAATGTTGTTTGCACAGCTTTCTGCGGGAAATTTTTTTTACAAAGGAAAAATTAGTTAAAGTAAATTTCGCTCAGAAAATGCAACTGGACAAAAAAATTGAAGGAATGAAGCTATAACAGAGTATACTCTTTTACTCTCTGGGCTTCCTCATATCACCTGCAAAAAGTTCAACTTTAGAGAATAAAAGACGACAGCATTAAACATCCGGTACAATACGTTCTGTTATTTTTTTACGACTTAAATTTTGTCAAAGATTAGCTAAATTTGGTAGAAAATTTACTCAAATCGGATCATCGACTGGGGAAATATTCACAGTCAAAGTTAAGGAATATGTAAGCTTTGCG